CAAGTCTGACTATTTCACCATGCTGTGGAGGCTGCCCTGGTATTAATTCACCTCAAAGAGCAGGTTGAAGTCATTAAAATATTTTGCAGGTGGTTCCTTGAATTCATGGTGCAGCTGGATCCAGCCTAAAGGGGAGGGGGGGGGGGAAGAAAAGGAGGAGAAGAGGCAAGTTCTGATGAAACACAAATTAACATAACTCATAGAAGGCAAAGAAAATCTGTTTTCAATCTCTACAACAAAGCCAAGCAACACATCAAGCTAGAAAGGAGAAATGTCAGCCAGGCAGCGCTGGGGATTTTATTGCTTTAGCACAAGTGCTTCTCTGTGGTCCCAGGAGCGCCCAGGTGCTACCGCAGCAGCTGGACCCCTGAGCGTGGCTCCGGGCACACAGGGACATGGGGGACTTCACAACAAGGCCCCTGCTCCCATATGGGTCCAGCTCAAGCTTTGCTTTAGTGCACTGGCACAAATCACGGTTATTTAGATCTTGTGTGCTGGCCTCAGCCTCTCTTCTGCACAGAAACTCTCCACGTACCATACCATTTCTTGCCCTTAGAGCTGGATCCACTTTTTTTCAGGGTGTGCTGACCATGGCTGAGCCAGGCAGTCAGTGGGACACTCACAAGGGAGACCTCAGATCTGGCATTTCTGTGAGCCTCTGGTGGGCAGATCACTCACAACCTGCTTTGGCATCCCCTGAATTCAGCAATGCCTCCAACGTCCATGGGCATCAAAGTCCTTGGTCCTTCCTTGGGGAGAACAAGACATTTTAGCATAAACACCATCATACTGGAGAGCAGTGCTGAGTCTGATAGGGATGGAGGTAACATTCTCCACAGCAGTCCAACACAGTGTGGTGTGTGCTTTGGATTTGTGGCTAAAACAGTGTTGATTACACACCGATGTTTTGGCTGTTGGTGAGCATTGCTTGCACAGAATCAAGGCTGTGAGTAGGCTCAGGGTGGGACAGAGGCTGGGAGGGGACACAGCTGGGACAGCTGACCCAAACAGACCACAGGGGTGCTCCACATCATATGACGTTGAGCTTGGCAACAAAAGTTCAGAGAAAGAAGGAAGGAGGGGAGATGTTTGTGGTTAGTGCATTTCTCAGCCCAAACGACCATCACGTGTGCTGAGGTCCTGCTTCCCAAGAAGTGGTTACCTATCTGCCTGATGACGGGAAGAGAATGAATTCCTCTTTCTGCTTTGCTTGCAAGTGCAACTTTTGCTTTCCCTATTAAACTGTCATTATATTGACCCATGAGTCTTCTCACCTTCCTTCTGTTTTCTCCTCATCCTCTGGGAGAGGGAACTGAATGAGCAGCTGGCTGGATGTTTGGCTGATGGCCAGGGTCAATCCACTGCAAGACTTGACTGGTACGTCAAAATTCACCAACCTTGTTCATTCCTGAAAGAGAAAAGACGGGAAAATCAGGTAAAATAAAATAAAATAAAATAAAAAAAACAAAAACAAACAAAACCCAAGTTAGTTTACAAACAAACCTACATCTGCAGAGGCAATTGTATAGTTCTGGTCACTGATGGCTTTGCGGTGTGCGTCTATGGGCTGTATCCCAGGACAAACCACAGCTACTTGTTTCTGTGAGAGAGCAGTGTGGTCTGTGGGCAGGATTATTTTTTGTTTCTTTGAAGCCCATCTGCAGAAACATGAGTGCAGGTGTTGAGATAAGGGGTAGACTGTCACTTTTTCTGGCTGCCACTCACTTCAGTCTAGAGGTGACAGCAGAAATGGTGGAGGTTGCTGCCCTGGCTTACCCAATATGGGGCTTGTTTGTGCTGTCACCTCTTCTCTTCCTCATCCTTGGAGGGGCACAGAAGTCCCCTGAATTCTGCCCATTTATGCCTAAGATGGTCTGCAATCAAATAGATGAGTTTGGAAAAATTACCATCTTGTAGATAAATGGAAAAACATCTCTGAGCCAGGATATCTTCTCATTTGGGAAAAAAAAAAACAAACAAACAAACAAAAAAAAAACACCAAAAAACCCCTGTAAAAAATCATAAATTCAGAAGTTTCAGGATAAATGCTTATCTTGAGGAGGCTAACATCTGTCCAAGCTCCCTGGCAGTATCACTGCTGGGAACTGCTGTGTTTAGCTGATGCCAGGTTTGAGTTGGGTGTTACATCTCTTTGCTGTGCCATGAACTTTTGGTGGTGGTAAATGCCTGCAGCTGACAACCGTGACACAAGGAGATGAGAAAGGTAGCAGGGGTGGCCAGGGACCAGACGCTTCCTTTTCCCTCCACCAGCAGTTACCCCTTTGAGGGTAACTTTGAGGCAGCTACGGTTTATAAAACTTGGTTCAGATGTGGTGCACCTCTGCATCGAGAGCTTGAGAAGCACTTTCTGCCTGGCACGGGTCACCGACATCAGAGTGTAGGAAGGGAAGGGATGAGCTGGAGGACTTCAGGCTCTTCCCTGAGATGTCAGCAGAGCATTTCAGAGGAGGCAGGATGAGCAGCAGCAGGGAGAGTAACCAGGGCTTCCTAGCAGAGAGCCTGGAGGGTGAGGCTGATGGCCCAGCAGACATGCCCCATAATGTGCTGGAAACTGCTATTCTATTAATAATCCCATTGTTTCAGCAAACCCTCAACCTAGGGAGACTGCACTGAATCAGCAGTTTCTTTTCTTTTTTTCTTTCCTGATTTAGTAACCTCAATTGCACAATCGGAGTCAATCTATTGCTGCAGTCAGTGATGGTGCAGCAAGAAATGAAAGACAGCAGAAAGCAGGGTGGGGGCAGTGGCAGTGAGCACATGCAAAGGCTGAGCGAGCGTGTTGGTACAGGATCTCTGACGTCCGTGGCATGGCCGAGACCCTCGGCACCACGTGCAGAGGGAAATCTGCTGCCTGTTTACAGAGGCTGACATCCAGTTGGAAACACACGGCAATGCTCCCAGGCAGCCAGATGCTCACCTGACTGATGGAAATGTGGCAGCATGCAGAGCTGCATGGGGCTACATCAGCTAGAAGTACGAGAAGAATTAAGTTTGACCAGCTGGGTAGGCAATAACAGCTGGTGGGCAAAGTTAGGCAGGATCATGACTTTGCTAGTGACCTCCCTAAAATAGTGAAGTGGAGAATTGGACTTTGAACCCTGAAGCAGTGAAGATCAGGACTGTCAAAATCAAGGGTCTCTACCACTGCTTTTGCACCCATGCCACCTGGGCCATTGAGAATGGCATGGCCACAGCATGACCATGAGCAGTGGGAAAACATATCCCTGAACTTCTTTCTCAGAGAAGGAAGGCAGAAAGATCTCTTTGCTCCTTTTGCCTTTTAGAAGGGCTTTGGAACACCACAGCCACCGGCTTCTTTTTAATACTTTTGAAGTAAAAGAGATTTGCCTAGAACTGTTGTTAAAAGCCTCTCTGTTGTGAATCTGCTCTCTGCATGCACCTGAACCACCTCCATCCCTATAAACATCCACTTGGCAGCACAGGTGCAGTCACGCCCAGCTCATCACCTGGCCCAGCGAGAGTAGATGGCTTCAGGCTTGCGCAGAATGGTCAGCTGAACCACCCAAACCATCAGAAATGGGCTGGATATGAGCCCTTACCCCAGTGGGGAGAAGATGCCACGAAGGGAGAGGATGCACAGGTGGTCACTACAGCTCAGCTACTCGGTGGTAACCTTCACAATGAAGAAAATGATCCCAATTCCTATGCAGGGTATAGCAGAACATATGATAACAGAGGATTCTTCTTCCTCCCCGCTGGTGCCAAACCAGGTCACAGCTGCACAGGCATGTTTGAAAGGAGAATGCAGAAGTGGATTTAAAAATCCCCACATATTTTTGATGTAAACCTTTAAGAGATCTATACATCAGGTGCAGCACAGAGGACTTCATTCTGCACTGGGCCATCAGGGTGTGGATTTCCAGCGCACGTCTACCTGAAGCTTACACCACGCTTTCTTCCATGGCCATGCAAAGTGATGAGGACCCAGCAACCCTGCGAATGAGCATGGACCCGCAGCCCAAGAGAAGACTCTGTGCTGGGCGCTGCCCTGCGCCTTGGAGAGGGAAGCACGTGGCGGTGGCGGCATGGGTGCGGAGGGCTCTGCCTGGCACCTACCGACAGCTCTCAGCTGCGGGCTTGGGTAAGTGTCTTCACTTTGCAAAATCAAAATCAACCCCTGCACAAATGGAGATGCCAAAATGCCAAACGCCACGGCAAGGTCTACAGGGGTGAGTTTTACAGGATGTGAGCAACACCCCTGCACAAATGGAGATGCCAAAATGCCGAACGCCACGGCAAGGTCTGCAGGAGTGAGTTTTACAGGATGTGAGCAACGAAGTGGTGAGGTGGTAGGAACTGTGTCCGTGGGTGTGGAAAAAGGGTCAGGGAGGAAGCAGGGGCTGTAGAGAGCCTCGGCAAGGAGACTGCAAATGTCTGTTCTCCATTACACCCCAAAACCAACTGGGCTTCAGCATCCCCCATCCCACCATTATTACCTTGTCTTTATAGCTCCTCCTGATTCTTTCCCTCCTTGCACTTCAGTCATGCACCATCACTAAGTTGGCATCTTGGTGAAGTTAACGTGTTTTTCATTACCACGTAGTGCTTAACCTTCCCTCCCAGGGGATGGATCTCCAAGCTAACATTGAACCTGGGATCTTCTTGGCTACGTGAGGTTTACTTGTGTGAGGAGCAAAATGACCACCTCATGCCCAACCCTGCTATAGTGCAGAGATGTTGAATAACTCAGGGTTGAACCTCTTGAGGATCCTGCCCGAGGCTCCATGGACACAGTGTCCCCAAGTACGCATACAAGAGCAGCTGAACATCTTAGCTGTGGGATTTTTTGAGGAACTGTTCAAATTACCACATCAGAGTTCTCACAAGTCTATAAAAACTGAGCAGATAGGAAAAACGTATCAGAAAGCATATCAAATCAGGAGGCAGATAAGAAGACCCATCAGTTCTCTATTGTCTATAATCTGACAAGGCTTTAGGTTAGCCTTGACAAATTTGTCATGACAATTAAAGACAGATACGGAGAAGATGGAAATTTGAGTGATATGAACACTTTCAGTATTTCAGACAAGATTGGGTTTGCCTCAGCTGCCACCACAACCTTTCAGATAAATGGTAAGGTTTCTTTTTATTAAATGGATTGATATGGATTTTATCTGGTCTATGAAGAAAGTGGCACATAAAAATAAAACATTGTATTTATATTGCATATTAAATGCTTTTTACAGTGATTTTTCTAGTAAATTAACTGCCATTTAAAAATAGAAGTATGTCAAAATGTCCTTTCTAGCCAAAAGCTGACGCTGAGCATCAGAAAAAATTAGTTCTTTTCCTGTTTTAGAAAATGCCTAATTTCACCGAGTAAAACTTTCATGTCTTAATAGTTAAGATACTGAAATCACTAGATCCAATAAAAAATGTAAGTTTATGAATTTTTAGCTGAATATAAATACTTCATTGCTGACTAAACCATTCCATTGTAAAACTAATTAAATCATTGTACTCTTTTAAAACTAAGACTTTAAACTCCTGATCATATTCCTTTGCAAAAAAAGCTCAATTAAGGGTAACTTATTGAATGTCTGAAGCAGTTATTAATGCTTCTAAAATACTTTTTTCTTCCTAAAGGCCAAAATTTGACAAAGCAATGTATTTCTTTTACACTTGCTGGTGATGAGTTGTTTTAAATGTTATGACTTGTTTTTATTTGTTCTGCAGTTTAGTTTATTATTGATTTTTTCCATTGTTTCGATGCATTCATGCATCACTGTTGGAATCGCATATATGCGGCGCTCTGGATGGAGAGGGACGTGCTTTGTGCAACCCTCTGTGAATGGCAGCCTGGGACAACTAAAAGTGATGGAAACAGGGAGTTTATTGATGCAGAAAGGGAAAAACTACTACATTCATACTGTTATAGGCTGGATTAAGTCTTGATGGAAGTGAGCTGGTTAAACTGGCTAAGGAAAAGACGGCCAAGTGAATCGCAGTGTGGGAGGAAGGCAGCCTGCTTTGCCTGCAGGACCTGGCAGCCTTGCATAGGGACCTTGCTGTTACCCGTCGCTGGAAAGCACTGCTAATTTATTGTGGCCAAGCCTGAAATGGCTGGAAGCAAGCAGAGCTTGTAGCAGGAGAGATCTGAGAGGATGTCTACCCTACTTCTGTTGGTTTTTAGAGCCTCAAAGCCAAAAAAAGCCATCCACGTGCTGTGCTCGGGCGACCCTCAGCATCTACCTGCTGCTGCTGACGGCTGGCCAGGGACTGCTGGCGTACAAAGGTAACACTGCAACCTTACTGCGGGCTTGACATCAAAAGACAGCTTTGCTATGTGCTCTCGGGAGGCATGGGTGAGTGGGGATAGGAAACCTCAGAGGGAGCACAGATGCTCCTCCGCTCACCACAAGTCAAAGCGGCCGCTGCAGGAGAGCATTCCCCCACCCCATGTATGTGCTTTGCATTTGCAAAGGCACTCCCAGCTGCACTCCTGGCTGCAGTAAGGGCTGGCACATGAAAACCAGCTCCCCAGGTCAAACTGTGGTGGTGTTTAACCCCGGGTGTCCTCCACGGGTGCCGAGGAGTCGCTCTGCTGAATAGGCATTTCCCAGCCGGATCGAGCATGGAATATTCACTGCGTGGGCCTTTTATCTCCTCAGTGTTTATGATGCAGAGAGAGATATTGAAATTTCAAGAACAAAATACCTCCTATACAGAAGAGATTCTGGAAAGATCCTTTGCCAAGAAACTTCTTTTGGATAGAAACTCCACAGAGAAGCACATTGGACATGAAGAAAATTGGAGAAGAAGCTTAGAAAAGGAAATCACCATAATTAAAAGCAGCAATGCAAACCTGATGATGATGGTGAGCAACATCACCCTGGTTGCAGGTATGGCTCCATTTCCTCATGCTGGCTGTACAGTGGGGAGAGCTGTTCCTCTGCACCACTGGCAAAGCTGGGCCAAAAACCTACTTCAGATGAACAAAGAAATAGGGTAAGATTTGGTCAGTTAGTGATATCCCAGTGCCCAGGGTTGGACACTGGCTCCAGACGCCCTGGCTGGGGAGCACAACACACCTGGAGAAGCTGGAGCACAGCCCTCTGCAGCCTCCCTGTATCCTGGGGCAGCTGCACACATGGCTCTGGGCTACTCTCCCCTCCCATAACTTGTAGACTTGGGCTCTGGGTGCCCTCAGAAAGGGTGGTGTCTTCAGTCCAGACCTCAAGGCTATCAACCCCACTCTGGTATGATCCTCACTGAGGGCTGACTACTGAAAAATATCCATTAAATATTTATTTCAGGGCCTCCTGGACGCCAAGGAGATCCTGGTCCACCAGGTATGTTGGTAAATGAGCTGTAAACAACTTTTCCTCTTTCTCTTTTTTTCCCCTAAGAGACCTGAAGTGGGGATTTGAGATTTGAGTCTCTAGACCCAGACCCTACCCAATGTGCAGACACCCAGTGCCCTGGCCATGAGGAGACCTGCTGCACCTTTTGACTGATCCCCCAGGAGCCTCGGCTTGCCCGAGTGCTCCTGCAGAGGTCAGTGACCACGATGGAGGAGTGTTTTGGTTCTGCTTCCTCACTCCTACCCCACTAGAAAAAGTCAAGGATGATGAAGGAACTGTACCTAGTCGTTATCTGCAATAACTGTCCCAAATCTTCATGTGAGACAAGACAGGACCAGTGAGGGGGTTTATGTGCATCCCACGACCAGCAGATAGCTGGGCTTTCTGTCCCAGACATTGCAAGTCCTGCTGTCCAACTCACTCCAGGACAACTCAAAGAGACCTCCCTCCCCAGTCCCTGCTCTATAGGACCCCAGCAGAACAGTGCCTGTAACAAACAGTGACAGATTTGGGACCTTACCTACCCTGTCCCTGGGGAAATGACCATACAGACTCAGGAATGAGCTGGGTGCAAGTCCTCCCCTCCACAGCCAGGCACAAGCTGCCGCCCTGGGTACCTGGAGGTTCTGGGTAGAACTACACCCACTGCAGGAGATAAATGTCTCCAGACTGTGAGGATGCAGCCAGTCCTGATCAAACGTTGGCTCTATGTTGAGCAGAGGTTGGACTAGGAGATGTCCAGAGAAACCAGACTGTCTATGATCCTATGATGATGATCTAAGATGCAATCCTTGTTAGGTCAGGTCTGTATCTCATCCATCCCTAGTTCTTGGCTACACTGATAAACTTTTCTGAAGAAAAAAAAAGATGAATAAATTTTTTAAAAATCATGTTTTCATATCTTCCTGGCTGCGCTTACAACATTGAAACAGCACCTCCTGCCAAGCACCATTATTGTAAATCAGAGCCCAATAGTTTAGTGCATTTTCAGGAAAGATCTCCCCAAAAGTCCCCATGAGCTGGGCTTGGCTGGAGGACAGCTGGCCCTTGCCCAGCCACACACTCAGCTGAGCTCCATGGACTTTACTCATGTGGTTGTGCTGGTCCCTGCCAGCTGAAGATTGGCCTCAGTGGTGACCAAAGGTGCATGCACAAAGGATGATTAAAAAAATACATCTCTTCTTCTTAGCCATCACTGCGAATAGAAGATGTTTGTCAGCTGATATATGTATTTTACATCTCAGGTCTACGGGGACCACCGGGGACAAAGGGAGACCGAGGAATCCAAGGTAAGGCTTTTCTAACACCTGAATTACTTCTGTGAATGAACATAAAGTGGCTTTATGGATGATTTTATGGGCAATCTTGTCCTCAGTCTAGATGTAAGTCAGTAGGAATGTCATTGGAGTTGAAGGAAATAAGCCTATGTAAAACTAATGTGAACAAAAGCAAAAATTAGCTGGAAAAAATCTTATTTTAAAAGTCAACATGCACCGGTCACGGTGAGCCCGTTCCCCAGTGCCACCAGCACCACTCTCAAGTACACGGAGCACAGGCTTTGGCTCATGCCCGCAGCTGAGCTGCATGGCCTGCTGCTGGCATTCAGTAGACACGACACCCGATAAAGTATCAGACGAGTGGTATTGTCCTTGCAGGTTTACACGGACTGCAGGGTGTGAAGGGGAGCAAAGGAGATCCTGGTCCTGCTGGCCCAAGTGGTGAACCAGGAGAGAGAGGACAAAAAGGAGAGACAGGACTTGCAGGTAAGGCTTCTTCACTATCTCAACATTTTTAAGGTTCTCCCATGTATTCCTCTCTAAACTCATTCTACTTAAAACACCAGAAGAAGCCTTCGTAGGTCAATATTTCATAAAAATCCAGGCAGCCCTGAGCGTGGCTTGCCAGTCAATGAGAGAACTGGATGAACTGGACGCTCAATCTGGTCTGAAGGGATTTCATTTCGTGTCATGCTCCAGCAACACTCCCAAAGGAGGGCTGGGGGAAGGGGACGTACACAATGTTGACTCTGCACCATGGAAGTCTCTTTACAGAGTGACCTTTGTCTAAAGAAAGCCACAGGTATTCAATTATCAGCCTATCCCAGATTAAAGCAACGATGTTTGCAGTAGGATTTTCATGGTATAAAATAATACAATATAATTTATATGCACAAACATGTGGATGTTAGTCCTCACTTTGTTAAAACCTCTTTCTGAGAACTTTATAACTTACTTTTATACACCTTAAGTAGAAGAGTTATGCACTGTGTTTCTCCCACGTAAAATGCATTAGTGGGCTGCTTCTGGATAGCTGTTATTCAGGGGTCTCACATGGGCTACACCCAGAGAGAAAAGGCTGAAAGCAGGATAGCAAAAGAAAGCAGAAAAGGTATGCGTGGTGTAGACCAGGGAGAACAGCTGGACAGATTGATTAGAGCTTCCTCAGATCTTCCATCAGATCCCACATGCTCCAGTGTGCTCATTAGCACAAGTTTCTCCAGAAGAGAAAAGTGAAAGTAGGAGGAATACCAAAAGGCAAGGACTTTGGGATAATTCTGGAGCAGAAAGATGAAGGAGATGTCAGTTTTTAAATGAAGCACTTTCAAGTAATTCAGCTTTTTTGGAGCATGTTGATCACCTATTCAGAGAAGAGAAGGCTAAGGGGAGATGTGGCAATTCCCTGGAAGCACAGGATTGGAATATGCTGTCCTCCATCTCCACTGTGGCTAGGAGAAGGGAAGGGTTCAGACTCCAATAAGGGATATTTAAGTAGAGAAGAAAACATTCTAGTGGTAGGGATAGTTTGGGGAACAGACTGGGGAGGTGTCATGGCATCGCTGCAAGTCTTTAACAGCAGGTCAGACAAACATCTGGCCAGTCAGTCTGGCAGAGCCAGAGGTGGCTCAGATGGACCCTGGAGGTACCATCCTGCCCTGTCCTCCTACAGCTTTATGGGAATGCCCCTGAATGGAAAACGCAGGTGTGAGGCCAAACTCTGCTACTGGTGCAGGTAGACGGAGGTGCTCCACTGCCTGCAGGGACAATAAATCTGTTTGTTTTTTTTTTAATTCATACACGTGTGCTGTGCTGTTTGTTAGGTCTCCAAGGACAGAAAGGTGAAACGGGCAGGAAGGGAGACCCCGGACCCCCTGGACCCATGGGTCCTCAGGGACAGCAGGGAGTCCCAGGACTGCCGGGTTTCAATGGTAAGTGCAGAGGACACAGCGTAACCCACCGTTGGCACATGTGTGCTGTCATGCAGGGTTGCCCTAGCTGAAGCTTTTGGCTAAGCCTCGTTAGTACTGATGCTAGGATGTTGTTACAGGTAGCACGGGGGAGCCTGGACGTCCTGGACAGAAAGGAGAGGCAGGTAAGCAGTACAGAAGGTGCAGTTTCTTCTAGAGATATGAGACTGATCTCTTTTAGATGGTGCTTCATGATAAGTAAAACTGCAGCCAGGCTAGATCCCACCAAGGGTAAGAGAAGATGATGATGAGATGAAGAAACCATGCTAACATTGTGCAAACCCATCCCACAGCCTCAGCTGTCTCATCTGGACCCCACTCACTGTGCAGGAGAATGAGAAGGAAAGAAGTGTCCTGCACCACGGAGGGCCATGTCCTCCTTCCTGACATGTGTGCACACACAAGGGCAGAAATTGCCCGCTCTTCTACAAGAGCACTTGTACCTCTCAAGGCTGACAGTCTGCAAGGACCTGTGTCCATACAGCCTTTGAGCCCAGACCATCACTCATGGCACCGCTAAGATTAGAGCTGCCAGGGGAGGATTGCAATTCGCAGAGACTCAGCATTTGTTTTGCCTTCTTGGGGTCAACTCAACCTGCATAGTGCAGGGACTGGTGATTGAGTTATCTTTCTTTTTTCTCCCTGATATGTTGTGTTGTATTTCACATGTGCTGCTTTTGCTCAACCTCAAGGCGTAACCGGACAACGTGGACTTATGGGAATGTCTGGCCCCGAAGGCAGACCTGGTCAGAAAGGGGAGAAGGGGGACAGCGGGCCCCATGGTAGTCCAGGTACAACGCTACTCAAACCTATAACTCACTGACCTCCTACTCCAACCTCGCTTTGTGTAATGGCTTTGCCCTTACTGATTTGTTTTTAATATTAGGAATGCCAGGCACTGCGGGACTCAGAGGTGAAAAGGGAGACAAAGGACTAGCAGGTAAAGGAGAATAAAACAGATTTGGGGTCAACAACATGCATCATGCAGACACTAGAAAGCGATCTGCAAGAGCAAGGAAGAGATCTGTTGAGTCCTGTTCTTGGAGCACCAACACATCCTGAGATGCCATGGTGTGGGCCTGGGCCTCTGCCAGGCTGCCGAGGGAGGTAGCTACTCACTGGAGGGGCTGTTTCTAGCATCTGTAACATGCAGGAGGAGATGATGTTGCCTGCATTTTTGTATAAACAGAAAATGCACAAACAAAGCAGCAGTTTAAGATGAAGCAAACAACAACCTCCCTACCCTGGAGCTAAAGACAAATTTTACTGGCTGTAAATCTGATGGGAAGGGTATTCACTAGCAAAAATCTGTCCTGGCCTCCTCTGTAGCATTGCAGGAAGAGGTATCTTCAAAGGACAACTTAGAGCATATAACCTAGGCCTTTTCTTTGACCTTCCAACTAAAGGCGGCCACCTCTCTGTCCCAGGTACCCAAATAATAGGGTGACACTCTGCAGTACAAGCCTATTCTGGTGTATTTCTCTCGAGTCAACCTTTCCAACTCTGAATTTATATAGTGCACGCAACCTCTCATCTCCATCAGGAGGTGACAAAGGTCTAAGTCCTACACCTTTCTGCTTTCATTGATATCTGGATGGTAGGGATGGGAGTCACCTGGTCCAACATTATGTGCTTGCATATGTCTGATGCACCTAAATTTACATGTCTAGGCTCTCTACATGGCCAGTGAAGACTCACCTGGAGGGAGGGTTTCTATCCCATTAGTGGAGTTTAGGATATGAAATAAATGACCAGAAGTTGACCTACTTCAGGAGAAGATTCTCCACTGACTGTGTTTTCTTTATTGACAAGGTCTGAACTGACTACAGTGGGAAATAAGACACCCACTTCAGAATAGATGCCCATAGTGTAGACAGCTAAACTAGACAAGTTGAAATCCATCGTAAATACTAGTTTACATAAACTTTTATAAATGTACAAATACCTGTCTTATAAATTTTGTTTGTTTGTTTTGATGATCTTAGGTCTTCCAGGGCAAAAGGGAACAAAGGGAGACCATGGTGTGCCAGGTAAACCCTTGTTTGACAGCGTGATTTATTCTGATCACGCAAAGCACGTTAAACGCCATGTTCCGCTTCTCTGCGTCAATGTGAAATGCTTGTCACGTTCTTTTCTTGGGAAGGGACAAAGGCAATGACTTTCTTGCTTTCCACCCAGGCAGCCCAGGCGCAACTGGTCAAAAAGGAAGCAAGGGTGATTATGGCAGTCAGGGTCCAAAAGGAGAACCGGGAGTAAAAGGAGCCAAGGGAGACCGTGGATACTCTGGTAAGGCTGTTTGACACAGGGTCTGTGGAGTCGATGATGCATTTGGTCTTGGACTGTCCATCACAGACTGGCAGAAGATGCTGTGGGGCATGTTTATAGAGTTCATTTGGAGGAACTCAACCGACAGATCAGTCTTCCCAGAAGATGAATGTGCAGAGTGTCATCTTTACACCTTGGGAGGTGTGCTAAAAGACATGCAAACGAACAGATGCATTAGATTTTCTCAAATCCCTAATCTCACAGAAAACTGGAACAATCCATGTTCCTCTCTGCCTCGTACAGAGGCATCTTGCAGCATACCACGCTGCTGGGATAAATCCCACATGAATGTGGCAGTCAGGAACACAGAATGGGAAAAAACAGGGCTATTTAACTATGCTTAACTAATTGTAGGACACAAAAATAGTTCAAAAGGGCCAACACTACAGCTCCTCCCTATCCTTATCCCCTTTTTTTTTCCGATCACAGAATGCTTCCAAAATCCCTAAGACCTGTAGTAAAAAAAAGAAAACAAAACAGTAATTACAACAGGCCATGGGAAGCAGCCGGTGCTCCAGATGCTTTTTCTTTTAATTGTTCTCACAGAACAGTACGAGAGACTCCAGAAATAAAATAAACTGAGTCTATGTGGGGCACCTCCATGCACTCCTCTTTTGGAGCTTTGCCTCTGGAGGAGGGCAAAAGTGTAACTGGGGTGACCCTGGGCTAGAGACTGCCCTCTGGGTAGGTCTCATTTCCTGGTCCCCAGAAGGAGACAGCAATGTGTGCTTTGTGGAGGTAGGTTTTGGGGGAAAAGCTCATTGGGTTTTTTCAAACACCTCTGCTCTCAAGACCAGGATGCTACACAGAAACGTGGAGGACTGTTGGGAGTGGCTTTCTGCTGTCCCGTGGCTGCACCTAGACAGCAAACCCCATGATGTAGATCTTCCTGCACTACTTTGGGAGTTAACATGCCTGCTTCTGGAGAGCCCAAAGGCCACCAGAGATGTCATTTTACAGGTAGTAGTGGGAATAAGATACGTTTCCCACAAGTGAGTGGATAGGATTTTGCAAGTGGCTCTTCTTGGGTCACACGTTAGGAAGACTTTGCTGTATGTTATCCTACTTTTCTTGCCACATTTCTTTTACATACCCTTAGACACTTCAGGGGGTCCATTCCACCAGGGGATGGAGCCCTCACATCTCTGACTCACCCAGTTATTCAGAAAAAGTTAATAACTGGATTTTCCCCCAAACAGCTGTCAAATATTTGTTTTTTTGTTTTTTTTTTTTTTTTAATTTGGAACAGGTTACCCAGGATTGAAAGGGAGCAAAGGTGAAAAGGGAGAAGGTACTGGACTTTTATCTCTTCTTCTCTCACTTGCCTTCTGGCATCGAAGCTGTCTGAGACCAGGACCAACGTGCCTGCCATGCACACTGGTTAACCCGCAGCATGGCTACCAGAACCAAGGGGTCCGTGCTCTGCGCTGCAGCCTAGTGTCTCCAGACCCAGGAAAGGGCCTTGAATTGTTCGGATTTGAGCTACCAGTAACTTCTGGTCCCACCCTGGCTACAGCCATGGAGATGGGAACATTTGTCTGGCTTGGGCAGTCACTGCTTCTTTCTTTCAGTGTGCTTTTTTCCCCATGCCTGTATGACCAGTAGAGTTGTTTTCTTCTCCTCTGAACTGTCAGGCAACTTCAATTTTGTACGAATCGCAGAAGGGGGCAGGAGGGGCCGCGTGGAAATCTTTCACCAAGGATCCTGGGGAACAATATGTGATGATGGTTGGGGCATCCAAGAGGCCACTGTGATCTGCCGAATGCTGGGATACAACCGTGCGGTCTCCTCCTTCACAGCCACAGCAGGTGAGTCCACAGCAGCCTTCCACTTCCCCAGAGCTGGCATAGGAGGTTATGCACTCCCAGACAGCACCACAGCAAGGTCCTCTACATGAGCAGCAGTAGAGCAAAGAGGATCTTCTCAAAGGGGCAGCTCATTCCCCTTGTGATTAGGGAGCTGCATATCAAGTGCTGCTTGAGCTGTGCCCAAGGGCTTGATTTCCAACAAACCAACCATGCAACCCAATGCACGCCTGCAATCCACAGAGGTCTCTAGAAAAAAATGCATATTCTTCTTTCTTTTGTCCAACAGTTTTTTGTTTGTTTGTTTGTTTAATTCATCTTCCAAAGGCACTGGACAAATTTGGCTTGATGACGTGAATTGCAGCGGGAACGAACGTTCAATTTTCGACTGTCAAAAGCCCAACTGGGGTGTGAACAACTGCTCCCACAACGAGGATGCTGGAGTGGAATGCAGTTGATGGGACACAGAGGCTGCCCTGGGAGCCGCTGCCTGCCTCTGCTCTCTGTGGGGCTCTTCTTCATAACATGAACCCAAATTTGCCAGGCTGTGCTTATAATCTCTTTACCAGGTCATAAATATATTGACAGAAAAAGTTGAATTTTCCATAAATCGCTAACAGTTGCAAGACCCACAGGTAACCTGAAGCATCCCAGCTGTCATGAAACAACTGGAGTTCAGGTACATGAGCCAGTTCACAGCTTTTCCAGTTACCTGACATCAGGTCATCTGCAGTAGCTCACACATGTGTGACCTCAAAGTCCACAGGGGCGGAGAGATGGTCCTCTTTAGCTTAGTGCAGTAAGAGAGAACAGGATCGGTGCACGGAAACAGGCAGTTACTGCAGCTGAGCTGGCTAGTCCTTCTTCATCACAGTACGGTTGTGAATCTGAGCCTAAAACCCCCAGTGAAGTGCAAACACCCAAGACAGCAGATGCTCAGAAATCATCCCATGATCTCTCTGGCATGCAAATATAAACGTTCTCCAGAAACGATGCTGATCACAGGTTAAAGTGCAAAAATAAATGCCTCATATCCAGGTACAGTACTGTCCTGGTTTAGCATAGGCCTTGTTTTTGACCTTGGCCAAGTCCCCTGTCTTCTCTGTCAGTGTTTCTTAGCCTGTCCCAGGAGCAATACCCCTTACCTTATCTAGTGTATAAAGCTAGGCGTTTCATACCTTTAGAAATTAGATGCTCCAGTAAAGCAAAGGGACAATGAATAAAAGCAATAATGGGAAAATGTCAGCTAATTAAACTTCCAGAGTGAAAATACGGACCCTAAACTAAAGGCTTCTACCTTAACTGAAAGTCTTACATGTCTGAGACGATAACTGAAAGGTTTCTCTTTCTTAAGGCCTAAGTCTTCCCCTTTTCCACTAGCATGGGACATTCCGCAGGGCACGAGCACCCTGTGTACATGTAACCAGGCACATCGCAACAACCTGCTTCAGACATTTGATTTAAAATGTCAGAAATATCTGTAAGCAACCCTACATCTCTGCCTTAATGTTAGTCATAATTGCATTTGTCTGCACAGCTTTGAAACTTGTTTTTAGTGCTTAGAAATCCAGATATAAGTGGAAAAACCGAGCAGTGCTGGTAAGAGCAGCAGGCGATGGGGCATCCGGGGCCGCTGTGGGTGAGAACACCGAGCACTGCAGAGAGTGTGACAGTGCAGTCTGCGACAAAGCTCATCGCCGTTTTGAACCAGAGGAAATGTTTGTTATGGGGTCTCAGGCCTCAGGAAAGAAGTCTGGAAAATCCCAAAAGCTTTCCACTACCCAGTCTGATGCCTTTGACAGCAGGAAAATGAAGAGAGATGCTTATCATTCCTGGCTCTGGTTTAGAGTAGGTAAGGAGCACCTGCCACAAATCATGGGTACAACCTGATGAATGATGACTATTTTAGAGCTGATGGAAGCAGGCAGTGACTCATCTGCACAAGAAGAGACAAAAGCTTTCTGTTCTGGTAGAGAACCCCACCAGCACTAACATCATGCTGAGTACCAGCGCTTGGGCTAACACAGCTTTCCACAGGGCTCCCACGGAAAGTGCTGAGCCTGCACAGGTTTCCTTCGTCTTTTTTTGTGTAATGTAAATAAAGCATTTCCACTGTTAGGAAATAAAGGGTTTACAAGTTGTATTCTTGTCTCGATACATCAGCATGTGGTGCTTACAGTTCCATTTTCTAACTTGTTAATGGAGTACATTCCTCACCATTTTTCAGGCTAAATGCTGAGACATTTGATTTTTTCATCACGCAAAACTGCCACTGAAGGGAAAGTCACCATGTTCCCAGTGGTGACTCTTTGACTGACTTAAATTCCCATAAATTGCTTTTTTGGAGAATGAGCATCCAGAAAATAGCAGTTGTGCCAGGCTTAAGGTCAAGACACTGGGGGTTAGATCTGCATGCCCAGGGCAAAGAGCACCATAGTCCATCCTGTCTCCTCCTAAGTGCAGCAGGAACAGGTTGAACCCAAGCTACTGTCCAACAGTGTGGCCAGAAACCAGAGCATGACATGCCTCACTTACTCCCCTGCCACTTCTTCACCTTGCAGTGCAGATGTAAAAATGTGCAAAATCTGGAGTCAGAGGGATTTCCTAGCAGTCTGGGAGAGCCCCTGCTGACATTGAAGAGTTCATTGCTAAATACACAAAATGGCATTTGTGTTGCAGGGATTAAAGGATGAAGGAGGATGCGGACGATGGAGGGAGTGCCTGTGTTTAAGCTTGGTGGCATCACGGCCGTGCTGCAGCACAGCCCTGGGGAAGGGCTCGAGGCGGCTCAGGCAGGCAGACAGCCAAGGGCGATGGCTGCAGGGACTGGGAATGCCACTGCTAAAGAGGAACAGGCCAAAACATCCAGCTGCCTGTCAGCATTGGCATAGCCCCCTCCATTCAGCAGGGATGCAGGAGCTGGTACAGAAGTGCCCACACCAGTACAGTTCATTCTAGGAAGGTAACCAGGGGGCTCAGGACCAGGACCTGTGTTAGTATTACCATGCTGGCAAAACCAGAGCTTGGCAGGAAAACAAATGTTGCCTTCATAAAACCACTCTGCATGTCCAGTCCAGAGAGGGAAGTCCAGCTACCTGGGAGGAGAGCTGTGGGCACAAAGCTCACACAAGAATTAGAAACACAACCATTTCTGCCTGCTAAAGCAGAGCACGTCTGAACTGCAAGAGAAGAACCAAGCCCAGTACAGGGTGTCCCACGTGCAAGAAATGGCATCCTTTGGAGTGGCCACCATGGCCAAGTCGTGGTGCCCATGATTTCACACTCACTGACTGTGTCAGTCCTGATGGATCCTCTTGGAGAAGTGCTGCCTAGCTGTGAATGAACAGTAGAGGATGCTAGGAGGTGACAGTAAAATTTACATTTGATCCTCTTCTGTCCAAACTAGGGTGAAACCAGAAAGAAGTCGCTCATGTCATTAAAGCAGGAATCAAATTCTTCCCAGTTCCCATAAGAAGTGGATGAGCTGAAAGATTCATGGAGGCTGTGAGACTGTTAGGTTGCAGGCTTGCTTCCCACAAGGGCCAGGTTTCCAGGCACCAGAAATTCAAATTTGAAGTCCAGCATTAGCAGATTCAGAAGTTCACACTAAATTCCATACTTTTAATTCAAATCACAGATACCTGTGGCAGCTCCCCACCTGATACGACTTCCCATACTCACTGCTATGTTTTGGTGGAGGTAAGAAAAGCCCTTATTTCATAGAATCATAGAATGCCCTGGGTTGGAAGGGACCCACAAGGATCATAGAGTCCAGCTCCTATGTCCGCGTAGGACAACCCCAAAACTCACACCATGTGTCTGAGGGCATTGTCCAAATGCTTCTGGAATACTGTTAGGTTTGGCGCTGTGACTACTTTCCCAGGGAGCCTATTCCAGTGCTCGACCACCCTCTGGGTGAAGAACCTTTTCCTGTTATCCAACCTAAACCTCCCCTGGCCCACCTTCATGCCATTCCCCTGGGTCCTATCATGGGTCACCAGAGAGAAGAGATCAGCGCCTGCCCCTCTGCTTCCCCTCGTGAGGAAGATGCCGACCACTGTGAG